AATCAGTCCTGATTCTGATTTAGAAGTTAAAACATCAACAGATAGGCACATTCAGGTAAGAATTTTTCTAAATAAACTTCTTTTACAATAAAATAAAAAACCTGAAAGAAGTTATTTACACTATGCTACAGTTCCTCTATGACACTTTTAACTTTATGGGATGACACAATTATCAAAGTCCTTAAGAAGAAAAATATCCAGGAGTTTCTTAATTTGCAGATTTTTTGGAAGTGAGGAAATGCAAGACAAATCCTGAGATATGAAGTATGGGGATGTGAAGAAGACTGGTTTCATGAGATCATCTGCCCCAGGAAATTCTACACTGAAATGAAGGTTTTCATAGATGAAACAGAACTTGAGAATAGTTGGATCTGATCATCACACCAGCCACCAATGCATATATGTTAGAAAAGACACACAGAAGGCTCATTAAGCAAGCCATTCTGTAAATTAGCTGAGACCAGGATATCCAGGTGTCATCAAATTTGAGACCCCATTTAAGTGATAAGGGTGCCAACACCTTTGCCTTTAATTGGGTCCTTTGCAAACATCCTATGCAGCTTCATTACTATCACCTATCAGTCAAGGAAAAAGAGGTTGACAAGGATGAAGTCCTGACACACAGTCAGTCTCTGAGCCATATGTTTTTGCTTGCTGTACTGAGCTCCGCTGGCCCAGACCTGTAAAAAGGATGGAATGCATAAAGAGATCCAAGCAGGTGTGCAATGGTAGCTGAAGAGAGACACTGGAAGCAGGATGATGATAGAGACGACCTACAGACATGCAGGAGGCCAACTTTGACAGGTGATGCACAGGAATGCTGGGAAAAGCAGTAGATGGACCAAACAGACATGCAACCATCAGGAAGAAGTAGGTGACTCTGAGCAAGGGTGCTGGGTGGGTTATGAGGTGGAGAGGCATTGTGGCATACAGCGACAGGTCCTGCAAACTGTGGCTACAGCCACAAATCAAATGACAGTCTTCAAATGTATACATGTGGAAAGGATCCCTGCTACAGATCATCGGCTTTAGGCACACTCACACCCCTGGAGAGGAGCACAGTTAGTACTTTTATCTGGTAATCAAAGGATAGCAACGACAGCTATTTGAACATGCTTGAAATTAATGAAAGTCATGATTTTACTAGAAATGGATTTTAAAATGGAAATGACTATTTCAACAATTTTAGATGTAAAAATGTTATATTTTGAAAACACCAGTTAGTTCTAATCGGAAAACTTCTTTTGAGCATAGAATGGGCTGTTGTTACCACAGTGCTTCTATGGTGGTCATTATGCTTTATTAAGATGCCCATTTACTTTTAAACAGTTAGTATTTCTCCGTGACACTGAGTTTGTTGCTGAGTTCACTGACAAAGCATCAGAGACGAGATTTGGTTTCTGAACATAGAACAAAATTAGTCCAGTTTCTCAAAAGATCAACACTAGGAAGTCAATACAATGCACTGAAGAAAGCAAGCAATAAAATGTGGATGCTTTTTATAAAGAAGAGTTGTAAAACAATTCAAGTCCCTTAGGATGCTGAAAACTTGGAAAGGGAAATGTTGTGCTTATAATGGTTAAGGTCTTTTAAGAAAAAAGGAAATAAAAGATTTTTAGATTTAAAAAGTGCATTTATCTTGGGTCTCACTGTTTTCCTGGGTCTCACTAAGTTTTTATTTTTATAGATAAAAAATATATTTATCTTATGTCTCACTAAGTTTTTTTGATAGTTATTGAATCAAATAAGAGAAACAGACCTAAATTATAGCATAAAAAGATTCATGAATGAAAAAGTATTTTGACTCTGGTTAAAAATCTCATGAAAAAGACTAGTTCACAAAGAGAAGCATGTGGGCTCAGATAAACAGTAGGCACTCAATAAATATTTGCTGAATGAATTAAGAAACCGAGATAACTAGACAGTAACACAGATGGGGGCCTCAGAAAATCATAGGACATTCTGAATGGAAGCGAACAAAAAGGGTGAAAGGAAAATGGGTCTTCTCCAAATCCTGCCTTTCTAGGATGATCCAGGTTCTTCTGACCATGAAGGACCATTAATCTAGTACTAGTGCTTTCCTCTGTCCTTAATAACAGCTATCTATCTAGCTTTTTCGGCTCCAAAAGAGGCCAGAAAGAAAAACCCTGTTGTTGGTTTACCTTATTTCTTCCTTTGACCAGGTCATCAGGATATGTTAATCCCCTTCACCCTCATCCCATGCTTCTTGACAGTAGAGAGGACATAGATGCTGTCCCTGCCAGATTAGTCCTTGGGGATGGGGCAGAATATGTACCACACTGGCATGGGGAGGCATGTGATATAAGCGATCACGCACCACCATGAAACAATGGAAGTCTAGGAGCTGGTGTTATACATATCCAGAAGCTGCTGTATACAAGACAGCCAGCAGGAATGGACAGGGCATGTGCGGCATGCAGAAGTATGCTATAGCACCATGTCTTTCAGAGTGTGTTGACAAGAGTGGTGTCTTACTCTGATAACAAGGCTGTCTACAGAAGGAAGAAGGTTGAAATGAGTATGTTGGAAGACATGCAATTCTGTATTTATGTGACATGGTTTTAGAGAAAAGATAAAGTTTTGTTCAGGCTTTTGAGTTCCTAGATTGTTAGATATATAGGTAAATTTGGGTTCTAACAGAGCCAGATAATAAATATACTCCTTACTAAGTACTGGGAACCACAGCAAATTCTAAGGTAAAAAGAAGAGAGCAGAATTATTCAATTATAGGGTCTTTCTTGAGGATTGTACACTGATAAATGGAGAGATTTCCACCCAAACATATCATCAGCATAATAAATACATTACAATCATTTAAGACTATTTTATGCACCACCTAACCTAGTCAAAATTATGACCTGGGTAATCTTTCAAAGTGTCTTCTCGTCTTCAAGGTTTCTAATATCATTCAATATTAAAAGGATTAGCCACCAAAAGGATGCATGGGTCCAAGAGAGAACACAAATGAGACTGAATGAGCTATAGTTATGACTCTGTGGCCGGATCCATGCCAGTCAAATTAAGCAGAAACTTAAATAATGTATTCATTAAGATTTAAAAAAAAAAAAAAAAAAGATTTTGGGTTCAATCATCAACTGGACATTTCTTCTAATCTCAACTTCACGCTTAATTTCTCTAATATTCGTTGTATATAGACTCAGCATAATTATAAAGACAAATATGATCTCAATTTATGAAGTCCAAGAGGCAAGATGAAATTCATATCATTCATTGTTGCAATTTGAAAAGGAGAATTATTTTCTAAGAACTGATGATATTATTACACGTTGTAAAAAAATCACAAACTATAAATTAATACTGACAGGGACCCTGTTTTTACATTAATATTTACATAGATTAACAGCAATAATCCTGAATCATAATATAGTTAAGGGTCAAATTCAGGTGAGAAAGATCACTTATTAAAACACTACTCATGATCAACTGGGAATAAACATGTTTCTTGGCAGATGACCTATATATAGTGAGGTGTTGGTATTCTCCTGATTTTACTTGGTTATTTAAAGATTCAGTCTCTCTAGTGGATAATGTACAGGTTTTCTTATTCTTGCTCAAGGGAAGTATGTAAAAATGCATATAAAACATTTATCTTAGCTGAAAGAGCTAATGAGTCAAATATTTTTAAAGATGAAGTTTCCTGAATCATTAGGAAAGATAAATGGCACATCTGTTTATTTGGCTAATAAAAAAAGAATCTGATTTATCTAAGATAGCTGGTATCAATGATTCATAAAATTAGTTTAAATTTTAGCTCAGGGGCAAGAGTGATATGAATAGACCCACTAAATAAAATCCTTGACACAGATATCTACCTTTCCTCTGTAAAAAATAACGACTGACTACCTCTAGCTAAGTTAGGTCAGTGTTCTTGGTAATATAAATAGTACATTCTAATAGCGTCAGCTGTTCTATTCAAACACCAAAGAAAAAGTCAGCAGAGGTGACTGGCAACGTGTAGTAGATAGCCATTTTTATTTCCTTTAAGTGTCCATATGTCTCCTTGACCTGAAAATTTCCAGGTCCTTTATTCTATAACATGAATACAACAATTCAAGACTATATCTTAGAAATGCTACATATGGAATTAAAGCCTATGGTGATACCATTAAGTTAGTAATATTTCCAGATAAGATTTAATTAATTTATGAATTGTTTATCTCAACTTACTTTATATAGCTTTTCAACTGAATGTTTCTGCTTTAAATATCCTTATTGTCACTATTCATTTTCAGACTGTCTTCTAGGCAACTGACCTATAGAAAGTGCAGTTATACGCACTGAATTACAAAAATAAGAACACCAAACTGTAATGCAATGGATGTGGAACTAACACTTCTAAAATAGTGACATAATGTGCTATCTGCAAATGTGTGCTTAGTATGTGTGTGCAGAGGCTCTGAGAAGTCAGTAGAAATGCTACCAATGACACATATGTATAGCTAAAAGAACTTTGGACCAAAGTGTGTGGCAGTCAAGAATATGCTAGGAAAGTACATGAAAAACTAGACAGCCTAAAAGTTAGGTTGTCAAATACAAAGTTCTATTGATACTCATTTTAGACTATTGAAAGTTAAAAAATATGTTATTTTCATACTGCATCCTTGAAATAAATTGTTTTCAGATAGATTTTATGAATGCACCTAATGTGTATACATTTTATTTTTTTTTGACTGATATATTTGCGATTTGTTCCCAAATGGTCATTACTAGTTATCATTACTACAAAGTGCTTGGCTATACCACATATTGTCTATAGTTTAAAATATATAAAATAATATGTGAAAAAAATAACTAAATCAATACATGGTATTAAAATAATTGTGTGCTTACAAAATGAAATGTATTGTTGTGTATTAGGTTAGGCCTACTTTATAAACGTATTAATCATTTGAACCAGTTTTTTTGTTTTCATATATATATGAAGCTCTTAGGATTTTCTGCTTCTGGTTAAATCATACCTTTTACATCTTCATCTTCAATTGTTGTATTTGAACTCTCAGTTGACTCCTGTTGAGAAGAAAACACTTTTTTTTTTTAAAGTTCCACACAATGAATATCTTTGTAAACAATTGGCTAGTGACATACATATCATGCAAAATTCTTCAGCAGGCTATGTGCATATGCTGACATGCAAATGGACAAACACATTAAGTGGTTTTTTTTAACAGAAATGAAATGTCAAATGCTGCAAACATTTCTAAAAGGGAGCACTCTGGTTGCCTAATCTCCAAAGCAGTCAAAATTGAGGTAACTTGTAGAAGTAGCAGAAGTATGCAGTTTATTTTAAAAACTGTGTAAGGATGTGTTTGTGCTACAGTGCCCCATAAGGTGTGCTTTTTCTGTTTGTTTATTAGCAATTGAACACCTTAGCCAAATGAATTTGAAACTTAAAATACAACTTTTACATCCTACTAATTAATCAGTGAATAGTACTTTTTTTGTGTCAAGCACTATGTTAAGCACTGAATTTGAAGCCTGTATGCCTGACTCTTTTATAGGGAGAGAATGTATTTCATTGCATCATTTGATGAAACAGCTAAGGGTACTAAGCTGAGATACACTGAAAGTACTTTTAAGAAGAATTTTCATGTTTGTCATCCATACAATGGAATTATAATGAATAATTTAATTTCAAGAACAATTTGATTTTTTTCATTCTTTTCTAAATTAGGAACTGGCAGTCATTGATAAGAAACCTACTTTCATAATAAAAAGACAAAGCTACTTGTTTGTGAAACAACAAATTAAGTTGAAGATTACTAAGCACACTTCAAAGTACACTGTAACTGCCAATATTAAGATACACTTCTTAAAATGGCTTGATAAATATTTTCATTAATAATGTACAAATAAAATATTTTCTAGCAAAGAAATTTTGCAATATTCATAAGAAATACACAATTTTCTACTTGGAATGATTAAGGCTCAGAGCCAAAAATAATTGGAAACAAACCACCAATCAATAGCTATATAACTCATAATGAAAAACAGATTTTGGAAAATAATGTAAACACCAGTCAGGGTCATTTTAGAGATTCAATATCTTAAAAAGTGACCAATTAATATATGATATACAATATTTAACCAAAGGGATAAACTAAGTAAAGATAAATCCAGAGTCTCCATACACACAAAATTAAAAAAAAAGTCTTCATGCATTTCTTAATGTGACATAGTATTCAAATTTAAACTTAAAATGAGGTAAACCCATGCACTGTAAAAAATAAACGAATTCATGTAAGCAAGAAATACCATGCAGCAACTCTTACAAATGATAAAGCTAGAACTACTGGTGTGTCCATTCCACCTGTTATGCTTGGTCTTTCATTTGCTAATGCTATTAAAAAAATTGTTTCCATATGTGATGATCCTGACTACCTCAGTCTTGCAGGGACATAGAACATTTTCGGTGTCATGAAATATGCCTCATATTAAAGAACATAACACTTGATTTTTTTTACTTGAATGATTTTAATATTTATCCACTAAATGTTAAACCAGAGAAAAATGTGTTTTCTAGGCCTTATGAAAAATGTATTTTCTAAGTCTTTAACATTGTTGATAAGAGTATAGAGAAAATTCATGATTATATTTAAAATTTGAGAAAATTTTGATAAAGTATTTTTCTCCCCCAGAGATATAACTTATGAAAAGCAATAAAATGGAAACACAGAATACATTCAGAAAATATCTCTTTTCATCTTATAGACATATACACAAGTGCTGTTATTTAGTTAACCCGCTGTGTAAATAATTTTCAATGTATAGGAAACATTAGTCTTCTTTCAATATAAGTAGTTAAATGTCTGTTACTAAAAAGGTACATAACTCAACAACAAACATTATTCACAAGATGTGAAATTCCCTGATTCTCCTCAAATTCATGCCAAACACCAACAACACGACAACAGCATCATCATCATCAACAGGGAATTTTGAAACAAACAAACAAAAAAACCACTCTGACAACAAAACAGAATAAAACTCAAAAGCAACACTAAATTTAAAAAAATACAGAAAACTAAACTATAAACTCAAGTTGATATATTAGAAGACAATGGAATGACATAGCAAGAAATTCTAAAATTTCATGCAGAATACGTCTACAGTACAAAGCACAAACAGTCATGGGGGAAGAAAAATGACTAGATGGCATTGCTTAAGATACACAGTCATCTTGACAAAGACTTCAATAACGTTTAGCCTGACTTATTGACTAATGGTAGCATTAATTTATCTCTCAAGATTCATTCATTTTTTTATTTGAAAGAAGTATGTGTATAGTTCTAGACAAATTAGGCCCAAAAGAAAGTGTGGTAGAGAAAGGCTAGAATTTTCTTTCTTAGTTTTAGATAACAAATTAATTTTGCTTTGAATATTTGATGAGATGTGTAATCTTGTGAAAACAAGATGATGTTGATTCTTTCTGAATACCTTGTTTCCATCAGGGTTGTGGATTACAGTAGTTTGGGGCTCCTGAGTGAGAACAAAATAGAGAAAGAAACAGTTTGCATTGGTAAATACATTCTTTCTAGTGTGAGGGACAGAGCAGAATGAGTCAGCTGACAAAACTAAATAGTGACAAGAGCTAAAGCGATGTTAACTGCTGCCAGAGGTTGCAGCTGATAAGATCTCTGATGAAAGATCTCCCTGGGGAGCCCATAAGATAGGACACCTCCCTGCCCAGAAGCAGCATGCAAAAGACCTTATTCCTGATCAGCACAAAATCAAGGCTTTGAAGTTTGGAGACTTAAAGAGGCACTCACTGTTTCACCAAGTCCTACGGCTTTCCTTTCTTCTTTAATGAGAGGCCTGTTAATGTCTGTCCCATTAAAAACTGGCCAAGGACACTGGAGATAGAACTCTCTGAAATGATCTCAAATTCTTTGAGAAGGTATTTTTTCAGCTGTATTGCTTTGGGAATTGATTAGGGTATCATCATTATAATTAACACATAGCTGAGTACCCTTGGAAAATCTAGAACTACTGAACCACACTTTAAAAACAAATAATTATCCTAAATAAATTTCAAAAGTCCATGAGAAATTCTAAGGAACATTTATAATGTTCATTGAAAGGGTTCTAGAACAAATCATATAATCACTATAATTTGAGACATATTGCTGTTAAATCCTATGTCAATTCATCTCTAAAAGAAAATTCTTACTTTACAGACAACATATATAGAATATTTGGCTATAAAGTCATTTCTTCCATGAAGAAAATATTATTTTTCCTGTTGTTTTCTATTAGAAAAGTAAAGAAATATTGTGAAAAATATCACTCAAATAACTGATGTAAAAAAAAGATTCAGTGTGCATACATTGATGGCACACTTGGCACTTTCATTTTGTGATGTCTTGGCAACTGGGTGGTATTGCAGTTCACTGGTGTTCTCACCCATGGGCATCCCCACCAACATAGTTTATACTGCAATATTGAGAGAACATTTTTTTTTTTTTTGAGTTGGAGTCTCACTCTTTTACCCAGGCTGGAGTGCAGTGGCACACTCATGGCCGCCCCAGTGTCAACCTGCGGGGGTCCGGCGATCCTACCACCTCAGTCTTCCAAGTAGCCAGAACTACAGGTGCACGCTACCACGTCTGGCTAATTTTTTTTAATTTTTATTTTTATTGTAGAGACGAGGTCTCACTAAGTTGCCCCGGTATGGTCTTGAACCTATGGGCTCAGGCAATCTACTTGTCTCAGCCTCCCAAAATACTTGGGGGATTGTAGGCTGAGCCATCAAGCTTGGCGAGAACATGTTTTTAAATGAAGCCTTCTGGTTAACTCAGGTGAAATATTCCCCTAATACTTTTAATTCATTTAAAACAACACATATGTATGAGAACAGCAAATAATTGGAAACATTTCTGAAAATTATAAATCAAAATATAAAATAGTTTGGGAAAACTATTTTTAAATTCTGAGCACTAAATGCCAATATTCAAAAATCTAATTTTAACATAACACCATCTCAAAGTGTTAAACTGATTTAGTTGTTAATTATGTGTATTTGATTGAAATAGACAAAATCGGTTTCCATTGAAATGTTAAAGTTCTATGCTATGCAGTTTCATCCTTTGGATTATAGTGAAACAGTGAAATTTTAATTTAAAACACAACAAACAAAAAGCTAATTTATCCAATGCCTCTTTATCTCATAAAATGAGGTCTTACAAAGCCCTGTTGTCCTTTAAAAGGAGGGAAATGAGAGCTCTGAATAAGGTCGCTTTTATGTTGTCTAGCAATAATCTAGTTAGCTCTCTTTGATGTCAGCATTTGCATCATGAAAAGAAGAAACCATTGTTTGCAAAATCTAGGACTATCAGAAGAAGAGCTAAGAGAAACCAAAGCACATTCTACTATATTTCTAAGGTGGCATGCAACAATTTCAACTACAGAGACCACAGCTATCAGTACAATGTTCAACAATGAAATGAGATAATCTCATGTTAGGAACACACTGCTTGACAACTAACTTAACAAAAAAGAAAAAAAGAAAAGAACGTTTGTCATATCTTAGAAAGCAAAAAAAACAAAATCAACAAAATAAAATATTTAGATATATGTATCTATATAGTGAAAGCAAATGAGAGAAACAACAAAAACAGTAAAGAACTTAAGAAGGGTTACAAAGAGTCCAGGTATACCAGCGCCGGGGTAGGAATATTTTCTTTGGGGCTGGTTACCACGTTGGCTTTGTTGTTTATCTGTGGGTATGCAGAAAATAGAAACAGAGATGCCTTAAACCCCTTGGTAGCCAATGTCTCTACACGCAGCATGTCTACATGGAGATATAGACATGAAAATAAGAGCCACTGAAGATGAATGTGAAAGACACTGTGATGGTGGACAGGAATGATGATCACTTCTAGTCTTCAATTGGTCACACATGCTAGGACTGTGTCTGTGATGGTGCATTGATAAAACAGCCCCTGTGGCTGAGCTACTTTAGCAAATAGACAGAGTTGCTTCACTGAAGCTCAAATTAAGTTTCACAGTATGAAATGAATATGATCACTTTCATAATCTTCAAGTTGGATTCTGTTTCCAAGCTTACAATTTTTCACTGTTACAAATATATTCCTTTTGTTTTTCATTTTATTCTTGAGCCTGAAATCACACATAGATCGTCTTTCTCTGGTGAGCCATCATTACTTTCTTTAGTTGGTATCCAATTAAAGTCAGATCTGCTGACGAAATGCAGGTGATATAGTATTTTTTAAAATGTTGAGTCTAGGTGTCTTATAAGAATTACATTTTCAATTATAAATGGGGAAATGAAACTCCTTACTATATGCTGAATGTAAAAGGACTTTAATTTTAAAATTGCTTAAGAGGAAAACACTATGTTTTCTGTCAAAGTGCTATTGCTATCATTGAAGATTATATTTGGTAATATCATTCTCTTGCTTTAACATAACTGATTTGACCTCACAGAAGACGGTATTGCTGCTGTGGAAGCCACACTGTAAAAGCAACTCAGAGGGTAAGTATTGTGACGGCCCACAGAGAAGACTCTTTGTAAACCAGTGGCAACTTAAAGCTACAACTAAGTTTGGGCACTAAAGAATCAAAGACTAAAAAGTAATAATCAACATTCTTTCAAACACATGCATAACACCTTAACATTATGATTACCAAACAAAAAGATAAATTAACATTCATTTTCTTACATTATATTATCTAGGTATTTTCTTTATATATTATTTTCTAAAGGAATAAAACTCCATACTTTAATAGAAATGTACTTAAGGACTTAAAGAGAAACACACACTGAATAAAATAGAAGAATATCAAATGAGTATTTACAAGTGATTACATCAATTTAACTGGGTTTTCTGGGTAGTCTATACCTATAATCCTATCGAAACAAACATTGAGAGGAAGATAGAAAGTAACAGAAAGCAATTTAGGTATGTAATATTCTGTCTTTCTATTCGTTCACATTTATGTGATTATTAATATCAGTATTATGGAAATAAGCTGTGACACTGTGCTCCATGACATGCAGAAAAAGAGAAAATGCTTAAACTTTCCTTTTCTGGAAAACCCTTTAAACGTTAAGTCATCAATCTATACTTTGTAGATAGTTTACATTTTTTTTCTTTAAATCAAAGTACACAGAGTTTAATGTAAAATTTGTGAAAGAGCTAAAAAATAGATATGAGGTAATAATGTCTATTAAAGAGGGATCAAAATTCAGTATTTATGTTAGTAGGCTATGTGAGAAAAGGGTAGTGGTGCAGACACTAGTGATTTCCTATTCAGGAAGAGTGCTTGGCAAAACAGTTGGCTTCTTGCCAGATGATAAGGGGCATTTATGATTAAAGCATCACACGTCTTTAATACACTATATTTAGTTTACATCGGTGAATGCAAATGAAAGAGAAATATTCTGAGATATTTTTATTTCCGTTTTGAGATAAGATACTTAATATTTTTCTACAATGTGGTTGCCAAGAACTGCTTTATTTTAGTTAAAATGCCCCACGTGCACATCTATTTTTAGAGTGCACAGGCGACCCCCCACAGCGCTACACACATTCATACAAAGATACACAGCATACACATACAATATTCTCTTCCAAATGAAGGCCATGGTGTCTGGCTGAACTATTGTCAGGGATAGGAAACTTGAGTTGAACGAATATGTACTTCAACCACCACTTTTGATCATGATTAAATATGCAGTTAAAAGGTTTCTTGCTAAAAATTAATTTAATGATCTTTTCTTTACTATAAGAAATATTTTGGAGGATTTTTTTCCTGAGTTGGGAGTGTCTGTCACCCAGCCTGGAATGCACTGGGAACAATCATAGCTCATGGCAGTCTTAACCTCCTGGGCTCAAGTGATCCTTTCACCTCAGTCTTTGGAGTAGATGAGACTTCAGGCACCTGACACCACACCCAGCTAATTAAAAAAATTTTTTTTGGAGAGGTGGGTCACTCTATGCTGCCAAGACTGGACCTAAACTCCTGGGATCAAGCACTCCTCCTGCCTTGGCCTCCCAAAGTGCTGGGATTACAGTCATGAGCCACTGTGCCTGGCCTGGAGGTATTAATTAAAGAACTTCTTTTCAAAGAGTCAAATATCAAGTATGGGTTCCACTATGGCTGTCTTTTAAACATACAAGAACTCTGACACTTTTGTGTGATGTAATTATTTTATATTGTGGTAGAAGTGTATTTATCTTTTAAAATAAAGCTTGAATCAATCAGGTATTTGTATGATGCATTGAATTACTCTTATAAGGCATGGGAAAGATCTTTTTATTTCTCATGTGCTGAATTTATTAAGTTTTGAGGTTAATACATATTTCCTTTAACAATGCTTAACTAGGTCCATTGTAAGATCACTTTTACACTCTTTATAAACTCTATGCTGACTGTATTGTGGTGTGTCTGAACTAAGACTCCTATTTCAGCAAACTTGCTCAACATTTAAAAAATAATCATATAGTGTTTCTTTACTTATCAGTAAACACATATTAATTATGTCATGGTCTTTTTATTTTCAAAGAGAAAATTAGACCTTATCCTTGTAAAAGATCAAACCAGTTAACAGCATATGGATGAAGGTTTAATTTTTTACATATTTAAAAAATTTAATTTCATAGAAAAACATCATAATGTAAGTGGGGGAGTAGGATTTGATAGTTGATAAACACTAACTTGTAACAGTCCTACACTTTCTCCACTTACACTAACTTAGGTAAATAAGACTGTTTTATTCCTAAGTATGAATTTTCACAGGAGGAGAAATCTGGCAGACAGAGATCCTCACCATCATCTGAACACTCGAACTGGACTTCCTTTTCTGAATTGACCAGTCAAAGAGAAAGGAAAAGAAAAAAAAAATGACCGGTTGAATTTAAAGTATCAAAGCATGGAGTACAGAATAATTTTGTCTTTAAAGAGGAGCTATAGTTTAGAATACAAAAAGTTCTGGAAATATTTCTTTCTATATAAGGATAGTAGTGAAAATAAATATCTTAGTAGGAACTACAAGCTCTCCATCGCTGAATGGTACAGAAAACCCCAGGAGAAAAAAACGTAAGGAAAATTTAAAGTACCACATTTCCACCAATGTAACATTGGGGAAAAAGGCAGCCATCAACTGTTATTATTAAAATCTAAGTTGAATGAACTAATCAGAAGGAAGATAAAACTACAGGTTGAGGAAAGCAATTGGTAAGTGGAAAATATCATCTTAACTGGAATTGCAAGTACATGGTCACCAGCACTCTGGGTATTTCCAAGTTGCACACAGACAGGTAGTGAAAAAAATGACTGGGCATGAACATTTAAAGTGACAAATGATTTTCCATGTTATATTTTCAATATGAACTGACCACCTGACTTAAGGTCAAGTTCAAATGTTAGGATGTTAATTAGTTCCCAAGAATGCTGAAGTGTTGATGAGGAATGTATGCATCTGCCCTCGGAAGAAAAAGAAAAGAATTAAAGAAATAAAACATTTAGATAATACTCTAGAAGGATAACAAACATCATTATGCAAATACAAGGTTACATTGCGTCAGAAGTAAATCCCCTTGAAACAAAATACAATGAGCACAAAATAAATTATATTATTTTGTTTAGAAATCCAAGGAAGTTAAAATATTCTGCTGTTATTTTTTCTTGCAAAATTTTTCTAATATTTGTTCAGAATATTCACCTTGACTATATCTAAATATCTTATGATAAAACACAGGAACAATTAATACTTCTATAAAAACTGCCCCAGAAGAGAAGTTTAGTCATCCAACATTCTATTACCCCTATCCAACGTGAGGTTTTTTTCAATACACTTCAGCAGTCTTCAAGTACACAGCTTAACTGGTTGGAAAAGCATTTGGCTTTTATAGATTTTTATGTCACCATAGTAGTTTGGGACTGTAGTAAAGCAGAGAGGATTTAGGCATTCAGTTTTTATTGGAAGTCTATATTATATAACAGTAATCTTTTTTCATGATTATTTAATATATAATAAAATAAAATGCAACTTTTCATGGTGTAAATATTAGTTATCTTTCTGTATTAAACTATTTCATATTTCAGCCTGCCTCCTTAATCAGAAACTATACTAAATATAAATTGCAAAGACATAGGACTTATATTTAACATTTAAAAATTATCCAGCATCTGAAAGTCAGAAATAGATTAGAAGCACCTGTTTAACTTACCTTTACTCCATCTGGTTTCTTCAACAAACTCTTGGCTGCTGCAGAATGAGAGCAAAATCAGTTTAGTGAGTTATTCATAGAAGCTCATAGCCAGGCAACAAAACAGTCAGGTTATTATCTCCTTCTACCACCTCTGCTGAATTATGGCCAACATATGCCAAGTTATCAAGGTCACACTGATGAGCGCGAGCTTACAGGACATTGAAATACAGTATCACTTTTCTTGGTTTGCCACAACAAATTTAGAACTAAAGAATAGTTCATTGCATATAATTGAATACTTTGCCGGTTGTGTTTATTAAACTTTATTCCACTGTTGGTTGCGAAAAGGATACTGGAACTTTAACTGGACTATCCTTTTATAATCCAGAAAGTTGATTTCAGTCTTGAGACATTAGCTGACGGATTGTATTACATGTTCATTCACGGCACAAGTATGGTGACCATGTCAGTTCTGCCATTTAAGCCCCTCTTTCTAGAGGTTGAAAACTCATTTGTAAAAATTTGCTCTGGCTAAATACATCTTTACTATATTTTTGAAATCAAACAATTTCAATCTTACAAACAATAGTAATAACTGTATTCAACTGAAATGGCATATTATTGACCTAGAGCAAATTTTTATATGCTTAGCATGTGACCTTTAAAAAATGGCATTATGAATTATTTTATACTTCAAAATCAAAATTCAAAGTCTTCATTAAACAAAAGCCTTTACACTGAAAAAGTAAAAATCATAAAATTTGATACAACATAAAAAAGAAAATAAAATTTTCAACTAAATCAGAGAAATTCTAAAGCATATGGTCTTATATGAAACTTCATTTTTCTTGGCAGGGAGCTTTTATCATTCCTTCTGCTATTGCACTTTTTGAGTATATTAAAAGGTGAAGTCATCCTTTTAAAAAATATACTTATGAATGGTACATACACAGTAAACAGATAATATAAATGTCAATGACAACTGTACACTAAGTGTAGAACAGTAACAAATATGCAGGACACAGTACACACTTATACTTCAATTTTTAATTATATAAATTTTTTAAGTATATAAAAATGGAATTTGGCACCAGAAGTGGAAACACCTGTCTGGACTAGAACTCTATGAACATGTAATTTCCTGACATTCATTTGGTATGGGATATTACTTTGATATCACTTTGACATAATTTTAAATTTACTTAAAAGAGACAAAAATATTAATTTTAGTTAGCAATAAAGATATTAATTCGATATTAATTGATATTGTAAGAAATAGTTGCCTTAGCTATGATACTGTTTGCCTGGAGCTAAAAAGCAATATTAAATAAATCCTGTGGCAGTTAATCGATTAGAAAGCAAACTCAGAATAACTGGAATTGCAGTAGCAAGCAAAGAGAAGACAATGATTCAGGGTAAGCAGGGATTTGGCCTGAAAGATGCAGAAATGTCCCTTTTGGTTACTATTGACCTTACCTCACAAGAAATACATTCCACATAAAGGGAGAAAAGAAAAAATAAAAACAACTTTATAACCATATACTTATGGACATATTACTTTAAAGAGCATGTTTGGCAATGAATTAGAATGAATCAAATACTCAAAACTAAAATGCAATATCAAGTACAAGATGTCATAACTGGTCTAATGTTATTCAGTTGATTTTGAAGTGATGGATAAAAAAAGTTTGCTTTTCATGCTAAGACATCCAGAAACAATATAAAAATCAACATATTAGTCATGGGTTTTTAGTTTACGGGATGATGAAAAGGAAAATGTGAGGTAAATAAAAAGCTTCTATATATGGGTATATCCGTTAATAAAGGCCCAATTAATGAATGCTTAAGAGTATATCTTTACAAAATATACAATTTTAATTTTGGAGATTTTTTTTCAGGTTAGTTTGTCATTAATAATTTATGCTGTATAAATCATCCTACCTTTTAGTAATTCACTAATTACTGGGCCACAGTGAAATATTCATTTATTTAAATATAGGCTATATTAGTTAATATTTAATGAGATGGCATCGAACTCACCCATATAATTGTCATCTATATTAATCAAGTGTTTATAAAACAGGTAACATGACAAAGGCAGCAACAAGATTGTATTACACCAAACAAATTGGACAAAATACATACAACTGACCAACACAGTCCCTCAATTTGTAGCATTACTCATTGTACTGTTGTCGCTGTTGTTTAACAATCTTTGGAAGATATCTTATGGCTTTATGTTAATTGTAACTAAATGCAAATGGGAGGAAATGGCCACTTAATATAGTTGTAAATAATAACTAGAGATTGGTTAAAGAACATGTAATAATGATATGATGGATCATTACCTGATAGCACCATAACACCCAGGCTAAGTGTGAGGCAGGAAGAATTAAATAAAGAATTGAAGAAATAGCTGGATAATTTGGTGCCATGGATCACTGTTATGTAAACAGTATACTAACTAAAGTGGTTGTATTTTTGGCACTAACGTTTGAGAAGTGTTCCAAGTCTAAACAACCAAACATTAAGTTTATCAAGTGTAGATTACTTGCTGCTCCAGTCCCTTCCCATACAGAAGACTGTTAAGCATTTACCAACATCTAATGAACCTGGTCCTTTGAGATAATCTATTAAAGAAGGGACTTCCAAAACAAATAATTTCTGAAAGTAAAGAAACAGTTTGGCTTCCTTTAGCCCATTAGCTAACAAACTTACTTCTACCATGGAATTGTTTTGAGGAATGCTTATTATCCTATGATAGAACTGTGTGGAAAGTTCTTTGTAAATTCTTGAGTTAGATACCTTTGACATTTGTAATCATTCTTATAGCATGCCAAGATACTACTGTGCTTTCAAAAGAACTTATGTCTAAGAGAACTGGGTTTCTCAACAATGGTCTTCTTTTAAAAATCTTGTAAAAATTATTGGGATTCCCTATGAAAATGAGATTAAAAAAAAACTTATTCATAGTTATTACTTTGTGAAGTATCAATACATTCTAGGTTCAAATGCTGACCTTGAAAATGAGGGAGTACATAGTTCTATAACTTATGTGCACCCCAGCATTTGACAAATAGGTTCAGTCCTGCATCAGCTCTGACTATTAGCCTGGGGTGCTTTTGTGAAGGGTGCAGACATGGAAGTTCCGTGGCAGACAGCTCCCAGGTGAATGGATAATTCAGCAGCCACAGATGTGGAAGGAATTCAGGCCACACATTTGCCATCCCTGAACAATGGGGTTTTTCTAATTATTAGATTGTTTTTTAATTCCAAAAAGACCAAAAAAAAAAAAAAAAAAAGCTACTCAAAAAGGAGACCGCAGGATAAGGAGCAGAGTTCTCAATGTATGTACCTGAAAAATTCCTTGTAGCCAGCATAGTTGTCAAGATGGCACCCTGTCAAAAACATAAGAATACAAAATCAATGTTGCCTCTGACCTAATGAATACACGGTCTTTGATAACAAATCTTCTCCTGGCCTTTCTTTCAATTAGGGAATTTTTGGTTGTTTGTTTTTGTATTTTGGTTTCCTGAGAGTCATAGCCCTGTGTCTCTCATGATACTGGGATCGCCCTCATGTGTGGGCCAGATTCAGATTATCAAATTGCACTGCTGTTTTCCACTGAAGGGAGGAACCATAGCACGTATTGCTTCACTGATTCTAGCTTTTCACCATAGGTTTGATTATGGTGGATATTACATTTTCAAAAGACCCAGAAAAAAGAATAATAAGAGTATTGAGGTCAATACACTTAAAAGCCTTTGCTAAAAGTTCTTTTCCTCATATAGTATTTCACTTCTCACTCTGCCAAATCTTCCTCTCCATAAAAATGTAAATTTCTTACCTTTAATTTTCTTCTAGCATTAAACTTCTTCAAGCAGTCTACAGTCTCCTGTCTGTGCATCATGGAAGCAACAGTAGAACGTTGCTGGAAGAAGAAAAGAAAAAGTGACTTAATCGAGGATATTTAAAATATACAAGACATAATCATATTCTCAACTTCATCAAATCTTTATTAATGGTGCTGCACCTGTATGATTAACTTGTTAAGTATTCAATTGCCAAAGTTACCTAAAAGGAAAAGACTGATTTTGCTAAGACTATTTATGACTAAGATGCAACACTGATGTATAGAAAGTATGGAGATGATCACCAATAATTTCTCAAATTATCTTTCCCTCAATGTCTATAATCACATTTCTATGAAACTGCTTTTCAGTTACTTAGCACCATATTTATTGTTTTAGCACTTCACACTCATCTTTAGAAATGTACTGAAGTCGCTGGATCCCCCTGAAAGTTTCATACTATGTTTCTTAGTACTTCTAAGCATATTCATATCTGCTATGTCCATTCTTTCATGCAACTAGAACTCCACTCTCAGCTTCCAAACTTCATACTTACTTCTGAAGCTGCCTAATGATAAATAATTGAATTTTGTCTAACCTTTCCTTCTGGGACACATTAATCTTGCTGTTATTTTCTTAACCTCTATTCAGGAATCATGTCAATAATTGATATGAGGAATACTCAATTCTTGTTATTATGGGCAATATTTATTTAACAAGCAAGCAAATCAGACTTTGCTACTCAAAATGGTATTTTTCACCATCATAAAATTCATTTTCTTAAATGCCTTGGGTCAAAAATTCATTCATTTTGAGTTTCATCTTTTTTTTTCTGCAAAATTACTCTTAATCTATGAAAAATAGATGAAAGAAGAGTCTCTTTTTAATTTTAGTCCCTGAGTTTTTGCAGAACTGTTACTTACACAGATCCATGGGTGTTTCAGTGCCTCTGAGGCTGTGATACGTTTGGCAGGATTGATTGTAAGCATTTTATTGATGAGGTCTTTGGCTTCAGGAGTCACTGTGTCCCATTCTGGTGATGGAAACTTCAAAAATATAAATTTTTATTGTAAAGAGTTTAAAAAACAGATACACTCAATTAAACAGCAAAGAGCCAAATACATCAATCATTTCTTCCAGTGATTTTCTTCAAGACAACTACATAGTAGTGAATTTCTTCAAGACAACTACATATATATGCAAGCGTGTATGTAGATAAGAGGGGGGAATGCCTGAAAAATCAGAATTTATTTGTAAAAAGTTGTGTATTTATTCTTACATGTTTAAACTTCAGTCACCTTCAAAGTACTCTCCTTTTGATGCAATAAACCTATCGAGATGCTTTTTCTACTGCTCAAAACAATTTTTGAATTTGTCAATTTTGATGCCTTTTAGTGCTTCTGTGTTTTTTGTTTCACCTCTTCCACAAGGGCAAAACGCTTCCCTTTGAGGACTTTTTTCACCCAGGGAAACAAACAAATAAACAAAAAAATGGCATTGCTCGAGGTGAGATCAGGTGACATGACATTTTTTATCAAAAACTCCTGAACATTCAGTACAGGGTGGGCAGATACGCTCATAAATCACCCATCATGAAATGGGCAAACATGTTGGAAAAAATCTCCAAAAAAAATTGACTGAAGCCAAAGGCAGGCTCTCACAACAACACTAGCTTTTTTGGTCCCCCCATTTATATGGATATGTATGTGTCTGTAGTTTTGTTTTTGCTTTTTTAGAGTCAAGGTCTCACTGTAATCCTGGCTGGAACACACCTGGCTAATTTTTTGATTTTTTTCTGTACAGACAAGGTCTCACTATGTCACCCAGGCTGGTCTCAAACTCCTGGGCTCAAGCAATCCTCTCACTTTGGCCTCCCTAAGTGCTGGGACTGCAGGTGTGAGCCACCATGCTTGGCCCTGGACAATTACATATATTAAAGTGTATCTGATAAAGAACCATTTATTAAATTATATATTATATATAGTATATACTTCTTAAAATTCAGAAAGATAAGACTCTTCTATTCCTTTAAAATATCTTTGCTTTCATCTGAAAATAAAATTTTATGCAATTTTTCTCATAATTATTTGCAAAATTCAGTAAAAGCTAAGAGGCTGTTGCACGTTATTCTGGCAAAGTTCACATGTTGTATTATACATTCTCTCAGCTCATGAACAATAATAGCAGAGAATAAAACAGGTTCAATTCCCATGTCAAAACTGACCTATTAATCATGGCTGCCTGGAGTGCTGTGGTGAGAAACTCTGAGACTAAAAGAGCTTCAGTAGGATTTCATTTTAACACTTTAAGAAAGTTAATCTACCTAATTATAAATTTCACCAAAGTATATGAAAGTAATCAAATCTCATAGCTTCCACTAGTCATTCATTTTTATACTGATAACTATAAAATAAAGTTACTTATCATAATTTCTGGTTTTTTTGCTGATAATTATTTAACCTTGCATTCACATAATTAATATATTTAGTAGAAATATTGCTCTTCATGGGTTAAGAGGAATTTATATCACATTCATTGCTAAATGACAGACTATCAGGTTCTTTTTCTAATTCATGAATTTTTATAGACAATCTTGAAAAACAAAGCCATTGCCACTGTGATATGGAACTAAATTAAATTAGTCCATTTTTAGTAGTTATAAAGTGACCCATCGGCAAAATGGAACATGAGAACAATGACACTTTAACACTTGTAATTTTTTCCAATTTAACAATGACCATTTTTTCATTCCAGAAACTTATCTCTGGCCATTGTAAAAACTTGCTAACTATTATGAACTATTGAAGACACATACAAGTCTGCTTCTTAATGGTATGCAGGTCTTCTGATAGCAAATGAAGGGCAGGTCCAGCTGAAGAATGGTGAACCTTATTCTCCATTTTCTAATTTGTACAAAGGTACTCCTCTCTGTTCATGAAGCAGTGCATTTGTAAGACTATGTTTTCCCAGAGAGGGGCCTAGTTCTGCATCCGTAAAGATGGTAAATGTGCTAGCTGTTGCCAAGTAAATAATAATTTGATCCAATTATTAGTGTGGGAAAAATGGAATGCTTCAAAATTCAAAGAACATACATTTAAAAATCTTGATAACTGACACATGTCCATCTAAATAGAACATTTTAACAGAAATGCACTGAACAGTTCATGAAACTAGATAGAATGAATGTAATATAGACTTTTTATATTGACTCTTCCTACTTCCGCACTGAGATTTTAGATTTTGCACAGAAGGTGAACCCAATTCTGCCTACTCCTTAGTTACACTACTTAATAACACATGGAAAGTATCCCTAGACCCTGCACTTGGATTTCTAGAGGGCTGTATGTGTGAGGAGAAACCAGAGGAAGTTGTAAATCATATTTACAGACATATTTATCAAAGGAGAGCAAATTATATCATGAGCACAAAGTTCAGCTATAAAGATAAAGCAGGTAAGTCATTCTTCAGATTTTGAACTTAATTCAAGAATGTATATATATGTCTACTACCAAATATTCTAATTATTCAATTAAATGTAATAGAATTGTGATTTTTAAATGTTTTTCAATTGTGAAACCTATTCTTAAAATAAAAGTTTGCAGCCGGGCTCGGTGGCTCAGCCTGTAATCCCGCGCCTTTGGGAGGCTGAGGTGAGTGGATTACCTGAGCCCGTGGGTTCCAGACCCGCCTGGGCAGCGAGACTTCATCTCTACAATAAATCAAAAAATCAGCCGGGCATGGTAGAGCATGCCTGTAATTCCGGCTACTTGGAAGGCTGAGGCGGAAGTATCGCCAGAGCCCAGCAGGTCGAGGCTGCAGTGGCCGGGAGCGGCCACTGCACTCCAGTCTGGGCGACAAAGTGAGACTCCAACTCAAAAAAATAAAATAAAATAAAAGTTTGCACAGTAGCCCATTAGGTAAACAATATAAAAAATTAGATATGGTGGAATGATGTTCTATTTGCTATATTGATCATTACAAAATGTTGACACACAATTTAAAATTATGTGATAAACACTTGAGAATATAATTCAACTAAAGAGGCATTAATCATTTCTAAAGAAGAAATATTACAACTTTTATGGGTTTTAAAATGCACTGAGATCTGAAAATTTTGACAAGTAAAGTCCTTCCTTAGGGACTTCAAACTGCTTTTTCTTTCACTCTTAGGAGATAGTGAGCTAAAAGGAAATATACACCGAAGACATATGCTGAATTTCCTTCTACTCATCTTCCTTTCCCTAAGAAAAGGGGAAATAATAAGGGAAATTGGTGAAAACTTTGGTTAAAAGAACAATAAAAAATATGGCTCTTGGTCAATAAACAAAAAACAAACTGTCATAAAATTTATATGAATTCTTATTACATACATCATAAGCTCCAGCCTTGATCTGCTGATAGAGTCTGTGTTGGTCTTCGTCCCAGAAGGGTGGGTACCCCACCAATAGAATATAGAGAATGACACCTGGAGGAAATTAGCATATTGACACAAATGTAAGTCATACGGACAATGATATGCTAACTGATATTAAACCACACTCATTAAAATAAAGAAAACTGGGTTGTAGGAAAACTTCAAAGATATATGTTGTGATTTTTCTAAAGCACTCTGTGGAGGGTAAATGCTCCTCTTTGAACACTCCAGAACAGACAGTATGTCAGTCAACACGTGGACCAAAAAATTCGAAGGAGGCATGGTAGGGCAACATCTAAACACTAAACTTACCTGCCATTTTGGGTGACTCATTCTTTGATTTCCTTGAACTCTTGTCAGTATATGATCTCCCTGCACTCTTATCTATATAGATATTGTGTTTAGTCATTGTGTAGGTTGCAGTTTAAAAATTGAACATTGTTATTTATTTCCTCACAGTCATTTTGCTGGTAATTTGGACATTCTGTTGAGTGATAGTGTCCTGGTTATAAATTCATGCTCTAACTAGCCAGAATCCCTGGAAGTGACAAAACCTTTTTCTTTTCAGTGATCTTAGTCTTCAGAAAGAGAGTTTTTGAATAAAATAGCTAAACCAATAGCTTAGTTTCCACTAAATATGCACATTTTCCTAATAAACATCTAAACTTAGGCTGTTATGAAATTATAAAACAGTCTCACACCTGTGACATGTAGCATTCTGAACTTATGCTATTCACTCTTATGAATCGTCTGCAGTTGACATGATGTGGGGCTTCTCTGAAAAGGGGGAACTCACAGCAGGCTCAAACCCCAAGGAAAGCAGTCAATTCACACATAGATGCACACAATTTAATTATCTGATGGAGGAGTTTCTACCAAAAAAGTACTTAAAACAATAGCATAAATATAGGAGTTTTTTAAAAAAAAATTATTAAAAGTAAAGCAAAACGAAAATTTTTAGGCCCAAGGACATAAATAAACAAATAAAAACTACATAGGCACTGCTGAATAGACTGATGTGAAATTGTCAATGCCTATTTAACCAAGTATTATTTTATATGCACACTTCGACTTACTTACTAGACTACTGTCTAAGACTTGTTTCTCAGTTATGCTCTCTTGTAGTTCTATTTTCTGAAAGCAAGAAAAACTACGAGGGTCATGGCATAATGATAATGTAATGTTAAAAAGTTTTGACTGGGCATACTGGTTCAAGCCTGTAATCCCAGCACTTTGGGAGGCCGAGCAGAGAGGACTGCCTGAGCCCTGGGGTTCAACACCAGCCTGGGTAACTTGGTGATATCTTGTCTCTACAATAAATTTAAAAATTAGCCGGGTGTGGTAGTGTGTGCCTGTAGTTCCCGCTACTTGGAAGGCTGAGGTAGAAGGATCGCCTGAGCCCAGTAGGTCGAGGCTGAGGTGACTGTGAGCAAGCTACTGCACTCCAGCCTGGGTGACAGAGTGAAACTCCAACTCAAAAAAAAATAGTTTCATTGTAGGTAATATTTACTGAGCAGTTAAGTGTGTATTCATGCATTACCTCGCTTACTCCTTGTACAATACAATGAGGTAGATATTTTTATTATCTACATTTCATAGATGAAGAAAGGAGGCTGAGATTAAATAACTGTTTCAACCACAAGCAGGATTGACATGGTAATGCCCTCAACATTCTCTGCAATCACCTTTTCTTTATCTATAAACTTCAACAACGATGGTCATGCAAAATTTTAAGCTCCATGTTGTCTAACTGAGACCTTGATTCATTAGCAAAGGGTGTCTATTGGCTCTGTCTTAAATCTTCACTGCAGGCACTTTTCCTTTAGCTGGGTACTTTGAACAAGTGGATATTCTTAAAGTGTTTGTTGTTCTAATTGAGAGATCTTATCTCACTGATAAGGTTCCAATTTATCTTTTTCCTATTCCCCTACTATTTTATCTTTTTTCTAGGTCAGAGAAAAAAGAAAGGAAAAAAAATAGTAACTCTTTTTCTTTGCCTATATAACTAAGGCCCTAAAATCTTTAAAAGTCAATGAAAAAGTTGTTTGCTTTTTGTTGTTGTTTTTCTTCATATTTTTTTTCTTTGCAGAAACACTTGGGGATAGTGATGTGACCTGTCAATGCTGGGCATGTCTCAAGATGTTAGCAATCTTTGATGATCACTGCCTAGAAGTTTTACTAGGATTGCAAAACGATGATATTCTAATTATATCACACTTTCTTTAGACTAAGAAACACTTATTTTCTTAACTACTGGTTACCCTAGTAACCAAGTACAGTTCATACAGGAAAGATAGGATAATTATTTATTTACTTCTCCCTTTATTAACCTGTTTTCAAAATAATGCATTGGAAACCCAGCATTCTCCAAAGGTTAGGACTTCTGTTGAATTTTGATTATCATTATCAATTCCTGGATTTAAACTCATCTGATGTGTTTCGACCAATTCCTGATGTTTTTCCCATCGATCCTCTAATTGCCCCATCTTTGATCAATGTCAACCTCCTCAAATTGGTTTCTGCATCCTGTTAATACAAACCTAGTAGTGCTAAGTACATTTACATTGTCATGAAACAGATTTCTAGAACATTTTCAGCTTTCAACACTGAAACTCTATATATACTAAACATGAATTTCCCCTCCCTCTTCCCCCATTTCTTGGTAACCACCTTTCTACGTTATTTTCTATGAATATGACTACTTTAATACCTCATATGAGTAGAATCAAATAATATTTGTCCTTTTGTGACTTTCTTATTTATTTCACTCAGCATGATGTCCTTTGTTCATCCATGTTGCACATGTGATAGGACTGCCTCACTTTTAGGGCTGTATAATATGCTATAGTATATGTATATCACATTTTGTTTCATTCAGTCATCTGCCAATGGACATCTGGGTTGCTTCCACCTCTTGACTACTGTAAATTCTGCTGTTATGAACACAGGTATGCAAATATTTATTCAAGATCTTGCTTTCTACTCTTTTGAATATATACCCAGAAGTGGGATTGCTGGATAATATGACCCCAGAGAATCTTATTCAATGGTTTTGAGGGTGGACCCCAGGAAGCTGCATTATTGGTAAGCACTTCAAGTTACTCTGAAGCACGTGGTCTGTGGTTTACAGTTTTAAAAATACCAAGTTAGGGAAACCACACAGAGCAATTTAAGACAACATATAAGTTCAGAGTTAGAGAATATTGGTAAAGACTGTGATTGGGAGTAAGGCTTGACAGGGTGAAAACTGTTGGAGATGTGGAAAAAGGATGAAGGCAGACAGCCTTCTAATTTGGAGGTACACTTGTGATTGGCCCAATGTAAGGTGATCACAGAACTGGTAATAGAGACAAAATGTCCAATAGGCTTGAGAATTCAAAATGGTAAAAGTGCCTGATACTGACTTATCCCTTATCCCAGCTGGAAAAAAAAAAAAAACTAAGCCCCAGAAATCACACAATTGCTGAACCTAAATTTACTACACAAGAAAAGAAGAAACGTATTCCATGTAATTCCAAAGGTTTGTCCAGAGTCAAGGTATAGTATGTGACAGCCACTAAGTTATCACTCATAACCATTCCAAGTGATATCTAAGTAAGGTAGAAAAGTAGTAAGACAACACATATGTATGTGGGATGGGAAGGGAGCAAATGTTTATTAGGATAGCAGGGTTTTTTTTGTTTTGTTTTCATTTTTTAAATTTCAAGCCAAATTGTAGGAAGAGCTCTGTTAAAAACTAGTGATCCAGTCATATCTCCAAACATTTGCTCATTTCATTAGGGAGTTATGGAGGCAACTATATATATAAGAAAGCCATAAAAATCAATTTACTCTGGTTAATAGCAGAACACGAGGCTATGTTCTTGCTTCATTAACGTCTGCTATTTACTTTCCAGTAATGGACTAGTTGCTTTCAAAGACGAACAACAGGCCAGACCTCATGCTCTGAAATTTCCTGTGTGTACATAGTTGCATCTTTCTAATAAAACAATATAGACTTCTTTTAGTCATTACACCAGTATTGTGTTTTGCTTTTCGCTGTCTCAACTTCCAAAATGACAAAGAATCTGCCATAATGAGTGTTCATAGCTTAATTCACGAAGAAGACTAGCTGTCATTCTGCTAAATGGCTTGTTCTGCATTTCTTTTGTTATCTGAGTGGGGTCATTTCTTACCACGCCACCCAGTGTCTACTCTTAAAAAGAACTCTGTTAATTGGCAGGAGCTAATGATAAGTCATAACCTAAAAGTAAACAAGCAATGTGGACATTACTGTGGTGGTTATTTCAATAGTAACAAGCAAGAAAACATCCTCTTATAAAGTGAATTTAATGTAACTTTCATGTCCTGAGTGAGGTGACATATAGTAACATGGTAAGACAATTCCAAACTGACAGCAGTGACTAAGATATGCTTTAAAAAATTCATTATGATGTTTCCAGTGGGGATTATTTCTCTCAAATATATGATATTAGAATTCCTAAGACATTTTCATGGCTGTGCGATCCCAAGTGCATTTCTAGACACACAGTTTAAAGATATACACAGTCTCTAAAGAAAATGGGAGTTAGCAGCACACGTATGCTCTGAGGCATGGCCCATCACAAACAAATTTTACTATTTGCATAACATTGTGTGAAGAAAGAAAAGGTAGACAGAATACAGCAAAGTGAAAGGTAGCTCTACCCCTGCAAAAGTTGGAGTTAAAATCTATAAAATACCCTATAGCTATAAGTTTCTAAGAGTCATTCATGAGAACTGTGTGCATGTGTATACATGTGTATGTCTGTATGTATGTAGTATCTAGTTATCTAATATTTATCTTTTAGAAGATGTCATACAGCTAAGACAACAAGGAGGGAAACCACTCTCCAACTATCCTGCTTCCCCTTTCTAGCCAAAAAAGTTAGAGCTTCTACTATTTATCTCATATTTCACAGATGTAAAATTCGATTATCATAAGACATTCCATTATGTTAAAAGGCTAGATATATAAACTGTATTGCAGAAATGTACTCACACAGAAAGTTCAGAAAATACGTGAACTAAAG